CAGTATGGAAATACCCAAGCTGCCTAATGGCTCTGTGCTCCTGCAGCAACAATTTCTGGTAGTTTTTTGCGTTGCACGTCACGTTATGGAGATATTCGGACAAAAAAATCTATCTGCCTGTAAAACGAGGGGGATCCTTTTCAGCTTGCCTAGCCCATAGGAGAGGGCTTAATCTACAGGGCCACAAGCAATCCCATGGGTGAAACTGGAGGGAGGGGGCCAGCTCTGCTGGCTTTTTTCCATGAGCCACGCTGTGCGAGGACTGGCTGGGAACAGGACCACAAATTTTTTCCTGTGTCACTAGCAAAATCTGATGTCATGGCAACTGCAATACTGCTGCAAAGATCTCAAGAAATATCATTTGGATATTAAGAGATTTTTGATCCATCCCCCTTGGTAACTTTGGAGAAATGAAGGTTTGAAACCCCAGAGTGACTTATCAATGCTGATCTGCCTCATCTTTCCTTTTTTCCGCCTCCTTACCTCCTCCCACCTCTGCTTAGTGCCCTTCCAGACCAAATTCTCTTCAACAAGCGAAACAGAAACGTGCTCATTTTCCATCCCAAACCAGCAGTGGCAGGTATAATGTTTCTGAGATGAGGAGGAGTTTCTTTTTCATATCCCAAAGACTCATCTCTCCAGAAGGGCAAGAGTTCTCACTATCTGGCACAAAGTGAACTCAGAAACCAAATTATTCTTTTTTTGTTTTTGTTGGCAGCTTTTTATCATTTCTCCCTCAATATTTCTTTGTCCAGGCTAAATGGCCGCTGCTGTGCAGACAGGTCCCCATGCTCACCCCACAGAAATTAAGAATTCCTGCACTAGAGACCCACGTATTCACTACGCAGTAACAAATGCCACGGCAGTTAATGTGATTTATATAAATCCACACTGTCAAACTGCAGGGGCTGACAGTGGTTGGAGAAGCACCACCTTTGTCCATACAGCAGCGATGTGTGACTGACAGGGAGGACATACTGGTCCCCAGAAAGCAGGGCACCATCTCACCCCAGGGCATATTCCCTCTTGTTACCTGACGCATCACAAATGGGAGAATCATCTTCTGGAGACTACCTAGCTTCACCGCAGGGTTGCAGAGTGACGATTAAGCTTGCTGTTGTGGTTTAAGCCTGCAGGCAGCTAAACACCACACGGACGTTCACTTGCTCCACCCTCTGCAGTGGGATGGGGGAGAGAATCGGGAGAAAAGGGTAAAATTCATGGGCTGAGATAAAGACGGTTTAATAGGACAGAAAAGGAAGGGAAAATTATAATAATAATAAATGATAACAACAACAACAATAATAATAATGATAAAAGAACATACAAAACAAGTGATGCACAATGCAATTGCTCACCGCCTGCCAATTGATGCCCAGCCCATCACTGAGCAGCGATCGCTGACCCCCGGCCAACTCCCTCAGTTTCTATACTGAGCATGACGCCATATGGTATGGAATGGCCCTGTGGCCAGTCGGGGCCAGCTGTCCTGGCTGTGCCCCCTCCCAGCTCCTTGTGCACCAGGCAGAGCATGGGAAGCTGAAAAGTCCTTGACCAGTGTAAGCACTGCTCAGCAACAACTAACACATCAGTGTGTTATCAACGTTATTCTCATCCTAAATCCAAAACACAGCACTACCAGCTCCCAGGAAGAAAATTAACTCTATCTTAGCCAAAACCAGGACACTTGCGCAAAGCCTGCCATGGTTTGGTGCTCAGCCACATGCCCTTGTGGCCACAGCAGCCTTTTGGCAGCGGGTGGCTGTAGTGGTCCTCTGGGTTGCATCTGCAGGAACAAATCCCTGAGACATGCTCAAAGCTTTCCCGTTACTTCTGCAGCAGCACTCAGAGCTGCACAGACCACGCTGCCGTGAACGCTGGAAGGCACCTGCTTGGATGGAGACTTTTTACAAACATGCTCACCCTGCCCTACTTGGCACTCCTGCCACTTTCTCCATGTACTGGCCACGTGCTGCCTGGTCATGTCTCAAACAGTCAAACAAACTGCTCTTGTCCTGCTTTGCCCTCTCTCTTTCCTACACCTTCTTCCAGGGAAGAACCTCCTTCCATGGAGGGGACATGGTTTAGTGGTGGACTTGGCAGTGATAGGGTAACAGTTGGATTTGACGATCTTAAAGGTCTTTTCCAACCTAAGTGATTCTATGATTCTATTCTATGATTCTATGAAGAAAATTAACTCTGTCCCAGCCAAAATCAGTACACCCTCCAAACCCATCACATTGCCACCCAGGCAGCTATTGCCAGCACACCCTTTGGCTGCCTGTTTATCTGTCCACCTATCCACATATATCTTCATCATCTACCCCTATTTCTTCCCCACCACACTGCCTCCTCTCAGTGTTTTCCACAGCCCAGGTGCCTCTTGCTGGACACAGGGACACTGTGGGGATGCAACTGCTGATATTTGGAGGAGGGAGTGGACATTCCTATAGAAAGTAACGTCCAGTGTTGTAACAGCATATTTCAGACAGGATTTAAAGCCCCAAAGTTAAGCTTTAAGAACTGTGTTTCTTCATGGGATCTTTCACAAAGCACAGATTATGCCCCATCCCTTGACAGGATGATGTTTTGCTCCTGTCTCTGAAGTGGCTGGTGCTGAGCACGTTTGGAGATTGCACACTTGGAGATGGTGCACCAGTTCCTCTGGTCTTTACTCACTGAGAGCCTGACAGATGGTGCTATGAAGCATGACCAAGCAAGGATTATACTCTGTCTACAGGCTCCGCGTTCATTCTTCTGGGCAGAAGTTGAGCATCCACCGGAGCCAGAGCGCCCAATCCTCCCCCATGGCACGGCACCCAGCTGGGCTGTGGAAATGCATCCTTTCCCTGTGTGCAGACACACTGCTTACGTGTCTCAACAAGGACAAAAATAAAAGAAGGATGGGAAGAGCAGGCAAGGAATATTCCTTCCTCAGCCCTGCTGTGGAGCAGTCAAGGTGAACAACTTCATGGGGGGGCACTGGGGGGGCAGGACGCCCAGCCTCTGGGGCAGCCCCATGGGTGGAGGATGGGACATTTCCCAGTTTAATGAATATTTACCCAGGCCAGAACAGTCGATGATGCACAGAGTAAACAAAGCAATTTTTGTATTTTTGTTGGACAACCAAAATACATTTACAGATGATGAGGATGAGGTACACGTTCAAGTCTGCACACCCAGATTCAAATACTTAAATCTATATTTTCATGTTGAAGATAATTAGAGCACCCTGGAAAGCTGTCTGCTAATTTAACTTATCAAGCTAATTATTTAGCTGGTGAAGTAAAGAGGGGAGGCACAGATGTCTGGAGCTTTGTCTGAGAAGTGGGGCAGTTGGAAATAGACTAATTCATTTTTCGTGCCACACTGATGAGTTTAGCCACATGCCCTCCAATTAAACAACGCCATGTTCCCTGTTTACATAGACAGATGGAGCATGAATTCCTTGAGTGCTGAGGGCTGGAAAAGTTTAACCTCTTCCACATCAGCCACTGCAGTCCCTGAAAAGAGCAGCAGACAAGCCAGGCAAATAATTAGCATAGGTTAGAGGAGCATTTTATAACTTTATTTTTCTTTTACTTACAACCCCAAAAAGTATGGTCCCTGTATTCAAAGCTTAAGCCCTTTAAGCATAGCTTTTCTTTTATGATTTGTATTTCACATAGCACTGTATTTCCCTGAGGTGTCTGTGGGCTGTGGATTGACCTTGGTTGACAGTTCTGTAGAAGAAATGAGAGCTGGGTTTGTGTACACATTGCTTAATTTTACCCATAACTATTAGCTGTAATAACAAC